CACATCCTTTCTGCCACGGGAAACAAACTGATTTAGTTACAACGCAGACAAAATGGATTCATGTGAAATTTTAATCAAATTGTGATGATAGCGGGAAGGGATCTGAGGTTTTTGAAAGTCGCCCCCCTCTGTTTAAGGTTGTTTTTTTCTTTCTTAACATAGATGGCTTCCTTCACACCCCTCTCAAACCACCTGTCTTCTTTGTCCAACATTGTTCAGAGGGGGTGGACTTTCAAAAACCTAAAATGCAGCGATACAGTTGATTCCCTTCCACTATCATGGCAACCCCCATTACAGAGGAACAGAGGGCCTCAACTTTTCAGCCAGTCCAACAATTCCCTTTAACAACCCCCCTTTCAGAGACATAGACAGGTTTCGGGTTTTACAGGTTAAGAAAAAAGGCAAACGACCCCCATTCCTAAAGCTTGGACCTGATCTTCTGCTTCAATTTGCGTGTTTTCTGAGCCAAAACAAAGCTTTGTTTTTGGTCCACTCTATAAAGCCTGGAAATCAAAGCTATTTCTGACATTTTGAATTGAAAAAGCTTCCTGGATGAGAAGTGAAACGTCTACAAACTTGGAGACAAAGTCCAGTGGATTGTTTTTAACTTTTTTTGGAATGACTAGGACCTGGATGACTGAGAATCTTCACCAGCATGAGTTAACGGAAGGCAGTGAGTGGGAAGGAACCTTGAGCTTGTTCTCCTTGCGGTTAACGATGACGGCGCTGATCTGCTGGTCCATGAAGATGAGGATCGTCACAAGCAGAGCTGGAACAAAGCTGGCCACATAGATCCACCAAGGGTTCTTCCCAAAAGGCATCACCAGCCAGCCACGACCCGGCCGCGTCGGCTGTGAGAGCAGAGGACCGTAGATGTTAGAAAAAACTCTGGATTAGGCCACATGGAAAGGAAACCAGTGTATAAATAAATAAAGAAACCAGCAGTTTTATTCCCTCAGAGGAAAAGGACTCCAGTTCAACAACCCTTTTTTTACTGGTTTTAATGTTTCAGATCATCAAGCGAATTCAATTAAATTCAACTCAGTATATTTCTATAGAGCCAATTCACATCACATGTAATCTCAAGGAACTTTACAGTTAACCAGATCATCCAGTCAACTCATTGACTCTTCAGCAATCCCTCACACTAAGCATGCTTGTAGCGACAGTGGAGAGGAAAAACTCCCTTTTAACAGGAAGAAT